ATTATTTGTCTTTGAATATTATAATTATATGGTTTGATTGCCACATATTCTAGGGCGATAAAAGAAGAACGTTCTAATATTTCATGGAGTGTAATAACAAAATACATACTAACAACGTGTTTTTTAATGATGATAGTTGTTATCATTCTTACAACTACGTGGAATAATCTTCTCAGTAATTTTAGTGTATTTAAAGAACGAATACTTTTCATTTCAAAATATTAATCAATAATTTTAATGTACATCAAAACACTGCAAAAAAATATAACTTACCGCCTTTGTAACGAAGGGTATTGTAGTACACTTTAATAAAAGTTAGGTTGTAAATTAACACAAACACTGTGTTTCACAACAACACAAACTCTTTCCGAAATACGGACGTGTGTGAACTATAGCATAATTAACTGTTTTAGCGATATAACAAAAGTTTTATGTGTTTGTGATAACATAAATGTCGTGCATGTTTCGATTAAAAATGGTTTCTTTACATTGTTGTGTTGTGAAGTCAAAGTTCTATTGTGTATTTGTAGGTTATATAAAATTAAACACAAATATTGTACACCAGCCAACACATCTATGTTCTGTTTTGATTGCCTACAATGATAATGTCGTTTTTAACTCGAATTTGTGTTATAGTCATTCAAAACCAGGCTTATTTTCCACAGAATGTTTGCTGAAAAGGACATAGTTTACGATTGAATAACATAACTTAAAATCAGCTATAACCATCAAAATAATTATAAGTTTCATAAAACAAACACTTATTACGGTTAGAATGCGTTGATTCATCAAGTGGGTAACCCAGCTGTTAGCGAGATTTTTGGCCGTAATCCTAATAATACCTCGCTTCGGAGACTGAGGTTAGTCCTAAATCCACAATCAAAGATAATTTGTATAATAAGAATAGATATATAATAAAAATAAAAATGAAAAAAAATTAGTACCAAGTAGATTTATTGCACCAAGGTTTTACGTATTACTAAAAATGCATAAAAACAATAACAGTATCAAATATAGGTTCATCATCTTAAGAAATAGCAAAATTTATAACACGTAAGTATTCTTTTTTGAGAAATAAGAACAAATATACAGTCAAAAATTCTATAGAATTTGTAGAGAAAATTAAAAACCTAAAATTAGAAATGGAAGACTTACTGGTATCTTTGATGTGATATCGTTGTTTACTAAAACACCATTAGATGACGCTATTAGTTGTTTTGAGAATAATTTAATAGAAAACAGAGTACCAAGAGTCGAAATTATAGATATATTGAACTTAACAAGAGTGTGTGTGGATAATCCATTTTTCCATGTTAATCAAAATTATTATAAACAGAAAGAGGGTTTAGCTATGGGATCCCCCTTGTCGCCGTTGTTATGTGACCTTTATATGGATAGTTTTGAAAATGAAGCTTTAAATAATACTAAGTTTAAGCCAGAAGTTTGGATAAGATATGTAGATGACACATTCGTGGTGTGGCGACATGGCAACCACAAAGTACAATAATTTTTTAGTTATTTAAACAGTAAAGAACCAGCAATTCAATTCAATTCACGTGTGAAATTGAAGATAATAATAGCAGTAATTTCTTAGACGTATTAGTTACGAAAGAAG